TATGCAAAATAATTATCAAAGTTTTCATCCTCTTCCTTCTTATCTGCTTCTGGCACCAAGATAATGGGCGGAGTTTCCAACCGTGGTACCTAGCATCGAATTCCCCCACTCTGAATGTCCGGGCAATCTTGGCAGATTTTTTCCATAAACCTCCAGCAATGAGCGGCGCGGTTTGGTTTTACCAGGTACGATCAGCGAAATTCTATCTATGCCGCTATTTTTACAAATAGTATATTAGCGAGGGATGAATTAAGCAGAAGAATCAAAAAAGAAGATAAGAAATAAAAATTAGAAAATTTTGTGAAATTATTATGATGGTAAAAAAAGTTTCGGTCCATTAAGTCGTATACATTTCTTACCATTGCCACAACTAGACCTAAGTTAATACAGCTCATTTCTGGCACCAACACTGAGCATGAAAAACAAAGAAACATCAAATAAAAACAAAGAAATATTTTGGGCCTGGAGATTGCTACTTAACGTTGACTCCGAAGTAACGCCATCTTCGGATATTTTGATACCAGATTTTAAGATAGTACTAGCACACCTTTGCCTCGTTCGAAAGCTAAATCAATTCCATCACTTCGATCAGCCACCATCCGATCCATTTCCTCGAAATCAACAAAACCTGCAACTAAACTGGTAAAGCCATCCAGCGAGGGCATAAATTCTTCTAAATTTTCAAAAATATATCGGAAGTACTGTTTCTTATTCCCAAACCTCTTTGTCTTCAGTAACAAAGAGCTGCAGGTTCAAGCTTCTATAATTCTGATGTAGAAATTTTGCAAGAAAAACAGAGAGGCATGCAGACACATAAACATTGTTTGCATGTGTTTTTTGCTTATACACGGCAAAAAACATACGAAAACAAGCTTGCAAATAGCCAACTGAAATTCATGATGATGGTGACGAATGCCGAAAGTGTTCTGAGGGACTAGAAAATAATAAAATTATTGGCGCATCAGTACGTATAATTATGATGACAGAACTATGATAATGCGCTGGAAAATGTGATTAACAGCGACACCAATACTG